GGTGCCTGTTGTTGCATCGGTTCTGGTTGTTGCTGTTGCTGAATCTGAGTAGGCGCTAATTGAGGATAATTGTAAAGATCCAAAATGCTGCGCTTATCAACTAATCGTCCAGTCTGCTGTGGCATCATGGGGTAGGTTTGCTGTCGATATTGATCATACTGAGCTTGCTGGGGTTGGACTTGAGGCTGTTGGTATTGTGATTGTGGTTGCTGTTGCTGCTGGTATCCATACTGCAATTGCGACCTTTGCTGCTGTTGTTGCTGTTGCTGTATTTGCTGTTGTTGTACTTGTTGTTGTTGTACTTGTTGTTGTTGTACTTGTTGTTGTTGTACTTGTTGTTGCTGCTGCTGCTGTTGTACTTGTTGTTGTTGACTCGCCTGGTTAAAGAAAGGATTCATTTGTTGTGGAGGATTCTGCATTCCCATGTTGTAGCTCCCGGGAGGATACTGCTGTTGTGATGTTTGAGTGACTGGACTTGCGAATATAGGTTGCTTCATCACCGATTGTTGCATATAGGGGTTCGACTGAAGATTGGTATTTACGACTGGTTGCGGTGATGCTTGTTGCATAAATGGATTCGTGTTCAAGTTATTTCGATCATTTTGCTGTAATTGAGGCTGTTGACCTGGATTTTCGTATATGACTGGAGCATAATGGTGTTGTGGTAGAGATGGAACAGGGGGTGTCATAGATTGCTGATATAATTGTTGCACTGGTGGGGGTTGAGAACCAGGCAGCCCCCCTGTGTGGTGAGGAAAAAGAGGCTGTGACGAAGATACCGACATGTTTTGAAAGGCTTGGTTGAGATTGAGTTGTGACTGTGACGGCATTAACCCGAATGGATTTGTGCTCGCAATATTTTGATATGGATTTCCTTCCATCATCTGATTTTGCCCTTGTGCCATTGAACCAGTAGATTGTGTAGATTGTGCCTGAGGAAATACTGGATTATCAAGTCTATCAAATGGGTTATTCGAGGCCGATGATATAGTGGGACTGGTTGCTTGAGGTCGCTCAAATGATAGACCAGGTGGGCTAGCTGGGGTCCGCGGCCCAGAAGAATTTATAGACGATGCCGTTCTTGCACTGGAACCACCTTCGCCCAATCGAACTAGAGTTTCAATAGATTTCTCCAAATTTCCACTCAAGCCTTTTAGCACGTCCTTATTTCTCTTCTCGTCCCTGAACCCCATGTCTCGCAGTTTGGCCAACTTCGACTCGAGATCATCCGTTGCGTCAAGGGAAGTTCCGAATATTCTTGAATGCTTATTCTTTCTCGGAGGTGATGGCGCTTGGCTATAATGATCAAATTCTGCCTGCGCATCTGCATTGTCTTTTTTCGCCTTTGAGGATAGGGGGAAAATGGAAGAAGCCGATCTGAAGCCGAATTTGGTCCCATTTTTGGGAGGAAGCGGTGGAGGATGATCGTCTGAGCTCGAACTACCAGTATTGTTCCGTCTCTGGGCTGGCGGTCCGTTGGCATATTTCTGTCGTATAAATCGTTCCATGGCCGAATCTGCTTCATCGGCATCGATAGGGATCGGAGGTCGAGTATTTTTAGGATTATAGATTCGATTTGACGCGACATTTCCAGTCTTCTTCATATACTATCAAACCATTAGAAACATACCAAGATAGAATACTTGCGAACGCACATCTACTTGATCTTTCGACCATGAATCCATACTCAATGATTTAACTTTTGTGATATGTGTTCCCAGCTTTCGGTGTAAGGCCGCGCAACGCATACATAGGAATATTCCCAGCTATTCCATAGTCAGTGATTGTCAGGACATAGTTACTCCTCGTTCACAGAGTCGTGCGCCAGTGGCCGATGATGACTTACACTCCAACTTGCCCATCCTAGATCTTTGAATTAATATATCTTCAGGCTGATATAGATCTTCGATGCTTACCTGGATTCCTCGCCTGGCAGTCTGCGCAAACATTGTTTCCTGGCAATTTCACAAGTTCTTGAAGTGCCTGCTCATTCCGCGCAAGTTGTCGCTTGCTTAAAATTCCCGACATGATATGATTGTAAGAAAGTGGTTATTAATAAAATTGTATTGGATGTAAAGTTGAAGGAGAGATGAATAGAATATGATTGAATTGAATTGAAGTAGTTGGTTGGTCAAGGAAAGTTATCTCGACGAATTGAGAATGTACTTCTTCGGTATAGTTACAGTTTTATACAAAGACATACAGTTGAATGTACACGAACTCGTAAGTTGCTTTTTCCTCCCGTCGTGAAATCGTTAAATGAGGAAAAATGGCTGATCAAGGTCGTGTTTCTTATTTAGTTTCAAGTAATGCTGGCTGCTAAAGTGGATGAAAGAAGCGGAAGTGGAGAGTTGGGAAATAAGGTGTGAGGTGATGAGATGAGTTATGGAGAATTGGAGAACGTATCGTATGAGAAGCTTCCGAAGAGATGGAAAGATTGGAGAAAGGAGAATAAATGACTACTTCGTACTTGGGAAGGTAGATGGTAGATGGAGAAGAGAAACAGAACAGTGAGTGAGTTGAGAGCGTTGATTGAATGAGAGATAGTAGGTAGACCAGGAAGAAAGTCAGAGCTTCGGATGAAGTTCCTCATTTGTCAGAAATTCATAAGTTTGTTAAGAAGTGGAAATATGGAGATTTGGAGATATGGAAATATGGAAATTCATTATTCTTAGATGGTCTGCGACTAACATGGCACTTTTTCATGTACTCCGTGAATTCTAGAGTGCCTTGTTGCCTTGTGATGGTATTATGTCATCTCGAGACTACCTCACGACCTACCTAGTACACTCCACTCCCCAGTAGGTACCGACTAGGTATGTATGCAGCAATAATATAAAGTCGACAAATCATCATTCGATTTGATTTCCGAAAGGATGGAAAAGCTTAAATTAATACAGAGAGAGAGAGAGCACTTACTCCTGTCTCGTCACACTCATAAATCCTTCAATTCAAGGACTGGCAGCTTTCTTGTTTAATCTCACAATCCATCATTACACTCTTATTGGGGCCCTTGACTACCTACCTACCTAGGTCGTACTCAAGTATATACCTGTATACTGAATGGGTAATCAGATATATCGAAAATCAATAATTACCAGACCCGAAATTATGATTTCCATCTGGAGAAAAAGTATCATTATTGATATGTGCTGATCATCCATCTAATTCCGGTTAGATTCATCCGCAGAATTCAAATATGCAATGCAACGGGTGAAAGTAATCTAACGGCTATGCATTCACGTCAGCATGGTGATAAATCTTGCGAACTGACGCTTCATGAATCGAAGGCCGAGATAACAACGAAATTTTGTCACTTGTGGCGCGATTATCAATATCGCCGATTTCTGATAACACGGTGCTTACCTGTAGCACCGTCCACAATGGACCCAATCGAAGAATCTACGGGAAAGGGAGGGGCGATCAAATCCCCTCAGTTCTCTCAATTCCCTCGAATCTTCATCATTTCTTAAGAATTTTCAGTCTCTGATTCACGACAGTATCTGTCTTCTAGCATTCATATCTCTTCAGGTTGGGTTCAACTTATCAACCTTTAAAGCCTAGCTTTTATCCTTCGTCGGAACCCGACTCATCCCCACAAATTCAAGAAGTCATCAAAGCACTCAATCTTCTCCCACATATTGAGGGCGGCTTCTTTGCCGAAACAGATCGTGCCCCAGACGTCATTCCTTCGCCATTCGGCTCCGATAAATCCTCTACTACAGATATTGCTCCCCAAAGACCTGGCTTCGATCCCACCGTGCGAAATTCATCGACTAGTATTTTCTATCTGCTTACGCCGCATGGTCCGCAAGGTGGCTTTCATCGGAATAAGGGAAGAACGGTTCATACACTACACAGAGGCCGGGGCAGATATGTTTTGATACACGCCGATGAAGAGGGTTCGGAAAAGAGAATCGAGACATTCATTGTTGGTCAGAATGTTGCTGCTGGCGAAAAGTTACAATGGATTGTAAATGGCGGGAAATACAAGGCATCCTACTTGTTGCCAGATGTTGAAGGTGGTCAAGATAGTGATGGACTTTTGATCAGCGAGACTGTTGTTCCCGGGTTTGAGTATTGTGATCATGATTTTTTATCTCCTGAGGGATTGAAAGAGCTTGTGGCTTCCGAGAAAGTGGAGGAATTGAGTTGGCTGTTTAGTCCTTTGGGGAAAGGAGAGTAGCGGAAAGTTTCTTTGTGCTCGTAGAACATACAGTCACATACAAATTTCGGGAATTCTAGGAGCGAAATTGCTCGTGAATCTTGTTCCCACGCTCGGTTGGTTGATCGCAGACTTTATTACTTCCTTCACATCAAGAAAACTGCTAGCTCTTGCTGCAATTTGTATGGCGAAGGACGAATAAACTGGTTAAAGATGGCCTTCTTGTCCGGCCAGTGCCCATAGGAGAGCTTCTCAATCTGCTCAAACATAGTCATAATTTCCAATTCATTACCAATATTTCCTTTCCATTCTTTTCCAGTTCATGCATCTTGCCTAGTTTCGGATTTCCAGGTCGTCCATGGTTGTCATATCACTCAGAAGTAAGTGTGTTTACAATTGCAGGAAAGATTGTTGGAACCATGAATTATTGAAATGCACAACATCATTTGTAATGGTCTATTCTCCTTTCATCAGTGATAAAGTCACTTCTGCTTCACTTTTATCATGTTAATAGTGGAGGATTTGAGGACCCTTAATTCTTTCAATGTCCACAGAAAAAATAGATCGAGGTAATCAAGGAGAGTAGAAATCCACCAAATTTTAATTTGGCAAACTTTCAATCCTCCATATTAACAAATCATTCTCCGATTTTATACCGCATTTACGTCTCTAATCTACCAAGATCTATATCTTCACTATTTTGAACAAATTCTTGGCAGACTTTGCCTTGCTTATCACACTAAGAACTCTGCTCACTTTCTGGATCATCATAGGGTCCCGAGGCACAGCAATTTTGCCCCGGACCATGGCTTCACAATTGATAGCATCATCAGTATCAGTCTTTTGCAACCCTGATATCATCCATGCTCACACAAGCCAAAGGGAAAAGGTTACCCCCATATACATAAAGCCAGTGAATATCTGGGCATGCAGAAAATTGGCTCCATTGTTGGTTCGCAACCAAAGTGCATGACTCGGCAAATGTGCTCGGTATGACCACCGAAACCCAGAATGTAGATAGAGCAGATGGTAAGAATTGTAACCCTAAAACTTCTGCGCCCACTGGAGCAACTGTAGTGATAAATGTTGCGGAAACAGCGCCACCAATCAAAGCGTAGAAGTTGAGGACCCCAAAATTTTTGGTCAGGATCCAAACTACAAGAGAAAAGATACCAGCCAAGAATGTACAAACAAGTGCGGTGTCGATTCGTCCGAAATCATCGCTAGCGTATCCTTTAACGGGTCGGACAAGACCTCCTCCAAGATTGGACGTAGCACCAAGAATCGACCCTTGGAATATAGTAAGGCCCACTATGTTTACGTAGGTGGATATTGAAAAGAGAAGAGCCACATAACCCAAGACGCTCAAACAGCCCCAGGCTAAAGTGAGTAGGAACTCTGGTCTTTTCAAGAGGCTGGTATGAAAAGCGATCTGAACAGCTCCAATTGCTTTATTCTGATATTTTATTATGATGGTGGAAAAGCCACATGCAGCAGCTGATGCAATAGCCAAAATTCGAAAAGTCCAGCCAGTACTCTACCTCTGAGAGAGCGCTCTAGAAGCCAACGAATCAATAAGCCTTCCAATTCCTGACTCCGCCGTCCCTATACCATTTTCAAGAGAGCGTCGACGATCAAAACATTGAGGAATCATACCAAAAGTAGCACAAAACCGCATTCCCATCCCGAAACCAAAACATACGCCCTGACTCAAAACTAATTGCCAAATTTCAGTCGAACATGACACGCTCAATAATGCTGTGTTTTGCAATATGATTCCTATCGTTAAGGTGGTCCTCGCTCCCCATTCTCGCATAGTGATTGTGGCGATGGGCGCAATGAATTGTGCCACGCTGAGGAAAAGACCGCCCATAAAAGCGAAATTTACATTGCTCACTCTGGGAAATGTATTGGTTTCTATTAGAAGTACTGGGGGGAAATATTCCCTACGACTGTGTATTATAACATTGAATCAGCGCATTGAATGTTTTCTGACAACAAAGAGATCTTACACTATTGATCCCCCACGTGTGGGCATTGATCAAAAATACACACAGTGGATATACCCAGCCGTAACCGCCGTCTGGAGGAGCTTCTATCTCGGGACGTGTTGCTGGTTGGGCTTGCTCGGGGTCAATATCATTATTGTGTCGTTTGTTGTCCGGGATGTAAAGTTCGGGTGGTGGCTTTTCTGGAAAGCAATTGGAAGGGGTGGTGGTATGGCTGTCACTTGGAGGCGCTGATATCGTGTGGTTTGAGTTATTTTTCTTCTCTGCATGCATCTTCTTTGTTCATTGCCTGTGGGTAGCAGTGTTAAAATTCTTGGAATATCAAACGAGGAAAGTGTCATTGAAATTTTTGGCGAATGCTCGTTGTGCAGATCAGATAGTGTCGTGAATCTTGATGGAATAATCTGCACTTTTGGGATACTTATACGTAATGAGATGATGAGGAGAGGTAAAGTAGAGCAGAATAGTAGGAGGCAGCTGGCATTTAAGAACTCGCTAATGGGGGACATGACAATGATCGGGAATAATCTGATGATCGCTAGTTCACTCATAAAAAGTGTGATATTAGATCGATCCATTCTGATATATACATCAATCCATCGAAGCAGAGAATTACAGCTCACCCTCTATTATTACATTCCTAGCCAAATATTGTATTCTAAGAACGATACCCATCGGTGCTTTTCAAAAAGAGATGCATGTTTTGAGTCGCCGTTCTCGTGGTAGATCGGGAATTAGATGGAGAGGCTTGGTGCGCTCTTTGGTATCTGTACCTGGGGATGCAGGGATGGGAATGTAATTGGGTTGGGTGTATGGTAAGGTGTAATACTCTAGACTTTTAGAGGGGTGGTTTTGTGTCGTTAGTTTTGTGTCGTTAGATTTGAAATGGATGGGGTGGGATAATTTTTTGAGGAGGGTAGTTTGGGAGTGTAGTAGTAGTGAATTCATAATCGATTCGGTCTATCTATAGCTAAATTGAGAGTGTCGTTGGTGGAGGATTTGGTGGGTAAGGAAGGTGATTGAACTGTTGGGTGCGATGGTGGTGGTGGGGGGAGGGAGGGTGGAAATTGTGTGGGGATGCTTTGTGAGGTTACTATCAGGAGGAATGGAGATGGAGAGCGATGATTTGAAGAACAACTCTTGCAGTTGAGTCTTGATCATGGTGCATGGATTTTTCTAGCTGCATTGAAAGTTACTGCTCCAGATTTCACCCCTATGTATTGATATCGGTGATGCGTCGAAAGAGATGGAGGGAGGAAACCTGCACTATTACGGCGGATGGGAGACAGGTCACACATTACTAACTCATAGATTGAGAACAGAGTATTATAATACTATTGTCTTCCTCGAAGCTAAAGGGATTATAGACTATAAGTATAGGGTAGGACAGGAATCATAATAGAATTGAAGAATGTCTAAAAAATATATAGGGTTTTTTCATTGTGTTGTATTTATTTGATGTAATTAAAGATACATAAATGGTGATGTATCATATAGCTAGATAACCAAGGTAATCCATATTAGCAATAGCTAGACTGGATCGATTATGATTTGACACCAAAGTTCATCTCAAATGCATGTTTTAAGATGATAAGACTACCTATAATTTGTAGCAGATTGAATGACAAAAACTAGATGTTCAAAATGAAAACGAAGACACAAGCGAGAGCCCGAAGCAACTCCTCTACCAACCTCACTTCAACGTCTTTTGAAACTCGCCAAATCTCTTATACATCTCTTTCTCAAACAGCTGTTGCATCTCATGACTCTTTGGATCCCCAAAAGGCAATACGTTGCTGGCATAGAAACAAGCCAATCCCGACTCTTTATCGATACTCCACAACAAATTCGGCATACCACTCCAAGTCAAGGTACCCTTCTTCTTGCCGCCCTCGATATCTTCTTCTATGAGTAATCCACCCAATCCAAAGTTCAATTTTCGTCCCGGTGGTTGACTAGAAAACATCCCCTGGAAGAAGTCTGCGCACACGAAACTGGCACGCAAATTCTCTACCGCTTCTTCCGAAATTTGCGGTTTGAACATTTCCGTTGTGGTAGATTTCTTGAGTAAAATTTCATCATCGCGCAGAAGAGATGTTAGGATTTTGAGATAAGAACTTGCGGAACCGGCAAGTCCCTGGCCCCCAAAACAGTCTTTTTGCTCAATGATGTATAGATTTTCATCAGTCCATTCTACTTTGTCGTTGCCTTTGCCTGGAAATGCTAGGATTGGTTTGGGATTGTCTAATCCACTGCGAAAGGTCATTTTCACGAGCTTTTCTTGAACATGTGGTTTGCGGTCGCGATGGAATGTTATATCATTAATATTGAGAGGGTTAAAAATGTGGGTTTGAGCGTAGTCTTCCAATGATTGGCCGCTATTGAGACGAGTAACAAGAACAGATACCCATTCGAGACTGTAGCCATAAGTCCAGGATGTTCCAGGCTCAAACAAAAGTGGGAGAGTGATATCCTTTAACATATCGGTTTTGTGAGTATGAACAGAGTCGATACCTTGAGAGGCGCGGAATCTGACGAGCTCTGGTGTGTAACTGTCGTAGCCGACTCCCGATGTGTGCGTAAGTAAATGTCTAGATATTTTCTAGTCAATGGCTTTGATTTCGTAGATCTCTATAAATTATGGCGTCTTACCTCAAGGTGATCTTATTCTTAGCTGGTTTGAGAATAGGAATTTCCTTTCCATCTGTTCCGGTTTCAAAACCCTCAAGTATTTGAATCCCCCTAAACTCTGTCAAAATGGAAGACAAATCATCTTCGAGGCCAATTTGTCCTTGTTCTACGCATCGCAAACCAGCGATAGAAGTTACTAGCTTTGTGCATGATGCCATGATAAAGGTCGAGTCAAGCTCAATTTGAGAGTTTGGGGTTGCGGGGCCAATTGCCTTTTCGTATTTGAATGTTCCTACTACTTGTTAGTTCTTCAGAGCCTTTGAGACGATAGCTATGCGAATAAAAGGAGTCTTTTACCATCGGCATTACTGGCAAGAAGTACAACACCAGGGATCTCTCCAGCTGAGGTTGCAGCGTCGAATTTCCGTTCTAGACTAGCCATCGTTCAGAATCCTCTTTCCGATTTCCGATTTCTGATTTCCGTGATATGTGGTTCCCAATGAAAGAGTCAGAAAAGAAAGTGAACATGGAATGCGGCTTAAACATGTAATACCAACACCACCTGTTATATACATGCCATCAACTACGGAATTCCGATGATTTGAAATACACGGGATTCATGTGCAGGTGCCCAGCCTTGAGCTTTCAGATGCTGTCCAATCGCGTATGGAGAGTCCAAAAAAATCAGGTTGCTTCACATCGACCCCATCTTCGGACCCCAAAATTCAAGGGGCAATGCATCCCAGCCGATTCACTCATATGACAATCAGATCCGTATTCTTCTCACGTGACCCTTCTTATCGACAGGTTTTAGAATCTATCCAGGCTCTATGGATTCATGGAATGCTTGATTATGCGATCAGCATTGTTGTTCGAATCCTTCTGCACGAATTGAAAGGACCGGATGGTTTAGCATTTGTCAGTACATGTCGGAGTTGGTTGGTATTTAAGTAAGCAGAAGAAGCGACGGCCGGTTAGCCCGCTCTGTCATAGTTGTCGCGGGAAAAGCGGCCGTGCTAAACTGGATTCATTCAAATCCTTTCACTAGCCAAAGTCCTGTTCATACTTTGAGAAATCTAATTGGGAATTGGATCGAACCTTTCAGCTGTTATGTTCAATGTTGCCAATGTCTCGAATAATCGCACCGCATTGTTGTGAATGGGAATTACAACTCCAGAGAATTCTTTCCATCCTCCTAATCGAAGGAACCTGCAGTCCTGTCGGACTTAAGGTCTGAACAAGTTGTTGTTGTTGTTGTTTATGGTCTTAAGGAGGGAACATCTCATAAATGTTTCAGACACGGAACCATAGGAAGCTGATGCCAGATCGAGTGATGAACAACACTTGAATCTCGGAATATTCGTGGTATATCTGATTGCCGAAATACATTGTCGACCGGATGAATTCTACGTTCCATTCGGGGCATCATCTCGCAGCAACACAAATGCATCTCCTCGTCAGAACCAGGACGACTCATGGAAAAAAGTTAGAACTGCAGGATTGACTCCAAATAAAGCGTGTTCGTTCAATCAAAATTCAGCAGCGACATACAGCTGTGCGGGGTAACTTTCAAGGGCCCAATTATTTTTCTATTTTTAATGTTGAGGGAGGGTCGACGTTCTATCGTCGCTGTTTATCTTATTCGTGTAGTCGACGAACTTTGAGGAATTTTGATGGGATTTGTTAGGAATTTCCCACAACATTCATAACATAAGTTGTGGAAAATTAAAACAGTATGGGTACAGCTATCTTTCAGAAGCACCTACTTCCGATGAATGAAAGAACGTTGAATTCACAGTGGACTGATATCTCCCCTGTTGCATGCAGGTGTCAGTCTGAGCAGTTGGGCGGGGTTTGAGCGCCATTCAACTGCGTTCCTACAGATCTCGAGGAGAACGATCCTATCTAAAATTGGCATCAGACTCATCTTGTCTTTTCACAAATCTTGGTTACTCCATGAGGGGTCAAATTTACTTGCGTGCCCGGCAGTCCACAGTTTACGGCCGAGTTTAATGATAGTGGTATTGCAGTAGCTTTGCCGAAGATCAGATCGTTCTTGCGCTCCAATTAACACTACACTCCGATGCCACTAAGTATGACCACGAATGAACAAACACCGTGGGTCGCAGAATTTGCATATATATCATCAACGAATTTGTGATCGATATCGAAAGCACATGGATCATAACACCCTTGAATAAAATAGGGCCAGATTCCCACTTACCTACCTCTTTTGGTGTACTGCCCGGAGAAATTATCACAGTAAGTGAGGGGAAAAGTCAATAGATCCTTGATTTATCTTTATATATATATATATACCTCTTCCATAGAATGTCGCATTCTTCAATCATTGGAATAATACATATTCCTCTATCATGGGCTTCAAAAGTCTGTCTAGGGCTCTAGCAGTCGCGTCTCTCTTGGTCTTTCATTTAGTAGATGCTGCTACTCTCACAGTGTCCACAACTGGTGGCAATGCATCCAGCCCTATTCTTTACGGTCTCATGTTTGAGGTAAGCTGTTCAAATTCAAGCAATCAAATAGCCGGGATTGCAGTCTGGCAACGAGAAACCCTCAAGCTCGATCCAAGCATAACATTCAATTCTTTTTGCATATCCAGCTTTACATTTCAGCAATTTAATTTGTGGTCTTCTGCTTGCTACTCTCAAAAGTCTCACCTACGTTGTGGAGAGAACTTTAAGCTGACTAAATTCTAGGACATCAATAACTCCGGTATATCTCCTACAGTGACTAGGTTATAGTATCTAAGCTAAAATATATAGGTGATGGCGGTATACATGGCCAGTTGTTGCGAAACAATGGATTCCAAGGGACAAATCCAGGGTTAACAGCTTATGCTGCTGTTGGTGGCACAAATCTCACAGTTGACACTGCCAATCCTCTCACTTCAGCGCTCCCGAGATCTTTGAAAGTTTCCGTTCCATCTGGAACAACTGGACAAGTTGGCTTTTCGAATGCTGGATACCTTGGTCTTCCTGTGAATGACGATACATATGCCAACTACTTCTGGATCAAGGGTTCATACTCCGGATCAGTTACATTGTCCCTCGTCGGTGTAGCAAGCGGAACAGTGTATGCCACCAAGACTATTACAGTCAATAGTGTGGCTTCTTCTTTCACTTACTATGAGACTACATACCACTCCACACAGGCTCCAGATGGTAATAATGTTTGGAAATTAACATTTGATGGAGCCAAAGTTGCCGGCAGTGCGCTGAATTTTGGTCTACCTCAACTTTTTCCAGTCACATTTCACCAGCGGTATGATAAGCAGAATAAATGTGAGGATTGTATTGACTTTTTGCAGTTACAACGGTATCAGAAATGATGTGGGAAACTTTCTTCAAGCACTCGAGCCCTCTTTCTTCCGCTTTCCAGGTGGAAATAATATGTAAGACAAAAGTCTCAAATGGAAAAAATTGAAATCTATAAGCTAACATCGAACAGAGAAGGTTCATCGCCTGGTAACAGATGGAAATGGAATGAAACTATTGGTCCAGTTGAAAAACGACCAGGAAGGCAAGGTGATTGGGGTTATCCAAACACAGATGCTTTAGGTATTTTGTCTTTTGTTCGAGCCAGCATTGCTTAACTGACAATCCTCCAGGGTTGATGGAATATCTTCAATTCATCTCGGATGCAGGTATGATACCAGTATTAGCCGTCTGGTCAGGTCTTTCCCTTGATGGAGGTGGAGTTGTATCCGGTGCAGCTCTTACACCCTATGTTGATGATATCCTGGATGAGCTTGAATTCCTTCTTGGATCTACGTCAACGACATGGGGCGCACTTCGTGAGTCTTACGGCCACGCTGCGCCATATGATATTCCCTTCATTGAGGTTGGCAACGAGGATAATCTAAGCGCAGGTTGCGGTACATACGCCTCTCGATTTACAGATATATACAATGCAATTCATGCGGCCTACCCTGACATCACAGTCATAGCCTCAACATCACAAGCATCCTGTCTTCCAAATCCAATTCCAGCCGGTGTTTGGACTGATACTCATCACTACCTCTCGCCAAATGGATTTGTTTCCCTTTTCAACGAGTTCGACAATAAGCCTCGCAATGGCCCAGGGATTTTTGTTGGTGAATACGCCAGCACAACTGACAATAGTGGTGCTACTACTTATTGGTCAACAATCCAAGGCGCAGTTTCCGAAGCAGTCTATATGATTGGTATGGAACGCAACTCCGATATCGTCAAGATGGCTTCATACGCTCCTCTATTTGAACATTTTGACATGGCCCAATGGTCACCCGATCTCGCTGGACTTAATGCCGATCCTGGATCTCTTACTGGAAGCGCAAGTTATTACGTTCAACAAATGTTCTCTGTTCATCGTGGCGAGACAATTCTTCCCGTTACTTCTGATGTTGGGTTTGGTCCCTTGTATTGGGTTGCGAGTAGTACGGCCGCTGGAACATACTACGTTAAGATCGCCAATTATGGTACTGCGACTCAAAATGTTACTGTGGATATCCCTGGCGCAACAGGTGCTAGTTCGAGTGCTAAGCTGGTTTCCTTCACGGGTCCCCCAACTGCAAGTAATTACCCGTTGAAAGTGACTTTGCAGCCTGTCACAAGCACCGTTACTGGAAGTGCGGCTGGAGGGTGGACTTTTAATGTTGCTGCTTATGGTGTTGCGATTATTACTATCACTACTTAGATGCTTTTCTCGGACTTGTGGATTGGGATGAGTCTTGGCCTAGCCTTCTGGGTGGATTACGAATACGTTGTTGATCAGGGATGAAACGTCATTTAATAGGATCATTTAATAGGACCCGATATCCCATTCCTCGAGTCCGGGTGCAAATTGATAATGCAAGAAATTAGACGGAGATGTTATAGAACCGTTGTATCAATCAATTCACGTTTTTGAAAATGAGATAGCGATGTCAGCTTTTCGACAATATGTTGCGCAGCTTATGAAATCATTATATTTTGTTTTATAACATTAGGTCATGAAGTAATTACTATCGTACACCCTAGCCAAATCAAGGGGGCCATTCCCACAAGTTCCTGAACCTTGAACCTTCTCTCAAGCTGACTATCTCAAAGCCCGCATCGACGTACCTTCATACCAAGTATCAATGCAAAAGCCGCAAATGGTCAATCTCATATTCGAGCTCACGTCTTCCCACTCTATCGTCCATAAGCCGTAACAAGACGATCCGAGATATACTGAATCTCCGCCGCCCGATAATAATCCGGTTCCACATACGCCAAACTCGTGGCATTAACATCGAAGACAAAATTCTTCGGGTCATCAAGCGTATACTTTGGCCAGGAGACATTGCTCGATTTCCCCGTATTCGGATCACCGTTGACGATAAAACTAATCCACATGCCACTCATCATGACAGCCAACTCATCAAACGTCTCCGGCTCGCCCTTAAACGGATTTTGCGAAACGACATTCTCGTAGCCTATACCGCCAGTATTGTTGAAAACAAACGCTACCTCTTGGAAATGGGTAGCGCCGAGTGAGAGTTTAACCCCATTCACCAACACATTCCAGCGGTAGGAAAAACTGCTCACGTTGTACTTTGCCCATGACTGTGTCATGAGTCGTCGAGGCGCATGCTGTTGTAAATCTCCTGCGTAAGCCGCTGATCGTTTCCACTGTACGCCCAGGGATGCTTCGCTAGGTGATGGGCGGCCCACCAGCGCGGCTGGGATACCGACCGCTGGGATATCGGGATACAATGCTGCGATTGTGTTTGTAGTGGCGTTATCGAGACCCGATGACTGAACCATACTTAAAAACTGAGCAGTTGTGTTGATGCCCTTCGTAGCATACTGAGTTCCCTCATCAAAGTTTCTACCGGTGAGGAGAGGTACTTTGACGAATTCTCCAGCGAGGAGTTGGGCGGTAGCGGATTTCTGCACAAAATCGTTGTCAATCTGGATACCCCAGCTTGCGGATGCTGTTACGGAGCTATTAAATATCGCGCTAAGCTGGTCCGTAGGAACAGTACGCAGACAATCAAGCGTATCACTCGCATTAGAGCATCCCGCTGCGATAGTGATGTTGTTGTAAACCGGTTGCCAAGCTTCAACACTCAGACGTTTAGCTGCGACTGGACTTCCACTCTGCGTAATAGCACCTCTGAATAATCCATCATCTCTTCCGCCATAAGCGATAAGTTGCAGACTGACACCTGTCGCACCGGCACTTTCTCCCCAAAGCGTAACTTTCTTCTTATCGCCACCGAAAAATCCAATATTCTCTTGCACCCAGTGAAGCGCCAATCTCTGATCTCTGAATCCTATATTTGCACTTCCTGCATCGAGGACTTCCTGTCCAAATAGGAATCCCCAGCCCGAAACTCGGTATTGAATACTCACAGCAATGATTGGAGTTTCAGCTTTCACTGATTGTGCAACAATAAATGAAAGATTGTATCGTGGATCCATGGCTCCACCTGCGGTATTACCGCCTCCATGAATCCAGACTGCCACGGGCAGATTCGCATCTGGAGAGATACCACTAGGACGCACAACATTTAATGTTAAGCAATCCTCTGAGATGATATTTCCTAACACCCAGTTATCGGAACTGTAGCCGATGCACTCAGGGGAATACTCCGTGGCATTACGCGGAGTATCCCATGTGGTATTGAGAGATTGAGGAGGATTGAAACGGAGCGCCCCGACGGGTGGCTGAGCGAAGGGGATACCTAGGAAAATATCCTCATCGTATGTTGGAAGATAGGTACCATAGTATGTACCGTTTAAAACACTAACTGTTGGAGATGATGTATTGTTGACACCTCGCGGTGCACTCTCTGCGACAGTTCCGATTGCGAGTAATGGCAAAGAAAGAAGGAGCTTAGCAAAGATAGGATTGAACATCTTGCCGGGATATCGCGGGATTAAAAGCCCTTTATAAGATGAAAAATCGTTTCGTCAAATGCAAATGGAGAACAACCAACAATATCTACTTCAGACGCAATGGAACAGACTAGATATCGAGAAGCTGACGGCCAAACTAAAATAAGCACACATACATATCAGCCAGAACAAAACGAAAGCAAAAAGAAGGGAGAGGCAAAATCATGAGTACTCTCCACCCATTTTATACTCGAGTACCTATTCCAATCCAATTTCATCATGACCCCAAGATTCCCCGCCCCGAAAATTCTACTGGGATTATCCGTACCCCGCAATGCGGGGCGTCCCACTCCCGAAGAGCACGCGACGAAGAAGACTTCTTCCCAACCCAGGTTCTTGGGCCTTTGAATACCTACATGAATTCATCATACCTTGCCAATCCAATCCCAAATCAATCTTTAAGCGACCCGAAATTTGACCGGCTCGGCTTTGCTAAACTTTCTCTCAATCATGTACTTCATCCGAACGCAAGAAATGTGGATGTGAAATGCTCATGATTCGTGAAGGGGCAGTCGGGCCCCGAATGCTTTTGATTGTCGAAATTCAGTTTAAAAGATTGAATGATTCCAAGAAAGTTACTTCAATTAAGCATTAAATATACGAGTCCATAACACCGCCATTTCGCGTGGGGTCAGAACAAAAAGCAAAGTGACATTTATCGACAAAGAGCTAAAGCAAATGCAATCAATGCAATCAAAATCAAACATGACCACTGATGATGGAAATGACCGCCTACCAAGTAAATCAACAGCTTTCAGCAATATACCGCCACTTCACAAATCTCTTCGACTGAAAATTAAGTTCCCCCACCCCCCGAAAATCAAAGTCCCGGAATGTCAAAACCAGGAGCATTGGGCCAATTCCCCAAATGTGCTGGATCCCCACCAATTCTTACCCATGCACCAACAGACGGAGTGGGTCCATCGAGGACAAATACCATATACCAGCCTGGCGGACAAATATGTGCGTTTGGAGGCGCAGTAATTGTACAAGTATTATTAAATCCACAGGCCAATTGAGGAAAGAGTGTTCGTTGACCCATAGAATTACCATGCGTACTTACAACAGAGCCAAGGATGGAAAAGTTGACGTTTGCCGTCGAGGTAAAGTTGGAGGTAATGGCGAAAGGAACAATTTGCGAATAGGACCAATCCGTGTTGTTCATATAAAAAGTTGGACGAGGGAGACCAGAGAGAAGATAAGGAGGCGTGAATACTTCAACTCGATATTCTTCTGGATGAACATTGTCTTGTGGATCAGATCCAGACACCATCACTCGTCCATCGAGAAGAAGAATTGCTTCGGAATGGTAAAGACGGGCGACGGATGTATTGGCCATTACACTCATGCGTGAGTTTATTGGCAGGCGGGGATCGTATAGGACAGCGTTAAAGTTAGGGTCTGAGCCGAGTCCAAATCCAGCAAAACCATGATGTGCGCCATTCAGGATGAGTGTTGTACCATCTGGAAGAGAAGCCAAACATGGCATTACACGGCGCGATGGCTAGAAGATGTCAGTCAATCGCTGCGAAATCACCACAATAATTGTCTTGAGCTCGAGATTGTCGAAAATACTTGCTGCTCTTCATGTGCTCGTGAGACCAACTTCCTATTTAGGGAAGACTAGTATTACACCTGGCAAGCATTCCAGTTGTACCCATCAAATGGCACAATTGATCGTAGGGCAAAAGAAATCAAGAGCCTCACCATTCTTTCAATCAGCCAAGTAGCATTCTTAGCTTCAGGTTGCATGGAAACACAATTATCTATGGCGAAGCCGCCCCCAGGTGTCGAACCGCCACAAATGAGCACTCCGATGGGATCGGTGTAAGGGTAAACCTGAGGTAGTAAAACCATGGCCCCCTCGAGAGGATAGTTTCGTCCGCCATTCGGATCATTTACAGCACCCGGAATGTTAGGCAGTGTCTTGATAGTCTCAAATGTGACTTCATCAAGGATTCTTGCTTCATTATAGTATGCAACAAAAATACCGGATGGAATAACGGCGAGGAACGGATATAGATTATTGGGGTCTGTACGAGCAAGAAAATCTAGATTGAGAACCGGGGCGCCTGTTGGAGGGAGTAACTCTAAGCTTGGAGATGCAGGGGCATTCGATCCTTCTTCGCCACCGACGATCAAAATCGAGCCATTTGCCTTGTAATAGTGTTAGTAAATGCTATTTAAAAATCTAGAGATGGTTATACGAACCATAATCATTGCCGTGGGGTACCACCGAGCGACGAGAAGGCGCACCTCGTTCACATTTTCCTGCCAATCATTGGTTCCCCAAACATTAGGGGATCCATCCGGCCAGTAAATTCGTACACCGTATGTTGATTCGCCGGACCACTAAGACTCATGAATATCAGCATCATAATCTTAGTGTCAGAATTAACGCAAATTATAAATGGGTGACAAGCTGAGCTGAGATCTTGAGATATTACACAGATACAAGGTGTACAATGGAGCCACCAAAATTCGTGAATTATTGGGAAGAATGTATGCTCTTACCCCTCCCACATCTAACTGTCTCCCAGCAATATCCGGAAGAATAAGTCCTGCTGAGCAGAAGACATCCGTTTTAACATGCATTGGTCTCCATGCCAGTGTAAAATTATCGATTGCTGAGAGATCTAACTCGTATGCGCCTGTCGAGTTTGGCTCGCCCGTCCCGAACTTTTCAACGAATGTCACCTTGCCAGTAATCATTTGGGACGTCATCAATGGTATGCACACACCGCCTATTAGCAATGAGTGTTCACCAGCACT